TGTAAGAATAAGGAGATATACAGCTTTTGCTTTACCTTCGTTTGCAGGGTCTATCAGAAGTGACACCCCTGTTTATTGGTGAATTTCACCAAATTTGGCTGAATGTATTATAGCAACCGATCAGGCACTAGAAATCTGCATGTATATTAATCTTATAAATGGTTATAAATTTCCTGTAAATCAGGGGTGGCCGATTTAATCCAGAAAGGGCCATTGGTTGTGTGGGATTTCGCTGCAGCTCCCGAATTAGATTACTAATTAGAAGACTGATTGGCTGAAGAGTCCTCACACCTGGGTTTGAACAGCTGACCTAAAGTTTATCCCATAAACCTGTATACACACTGCCCACCCGATTTGTTAGATGTTTAAAGATTTTACACCTCTCAATTGGTTTTATTATATCTAATGTATCATCTACCTGTCTAAAAATTTGTTTGATGGACGTGGTTGGGCCATAATGGTGAATTGCAGTGGCCTTTGTCTTCTGCCGTCGACGTACTCGGTTTGGGATCGAGTGTATGTTGCGTGTAGCCCGCTGTGCCTCTGGGCCTGCAGAGCCGGCTGTCAGCACTTGGATGTAACGTACAATTAGCCCAGGAAAACAGGGTCCTGATGAGATGCTGCGCTTTTGTTTCTGTCTTCCTGGAAAGAATGCTCTCTCTATAGCCCAGCTGTGTCTGCAGATATTGCCAGAAAGGGATGTGCCACCCTTCGTTTTTTTTCTTTCTTTCTTTCCCTCTTTCTCTTCCTGCTATCAGCACCAGGACTGAGTCAGACATTAATCGGTGCTTCTGAGCAGCTGATTGGCCTGCGATTAGGACCGAAAGAGGCAGTTTGAATTGAAATGGGCTCCTGCAAGCTGGCGAGCAGCTTTGAGAGCCGCGGCCGGTTTGTGTTCATGCTGGCACACGCGTCATCCTGATGCCAGGCGGCTCGGTCGTCTTGGGGATGTCAATTTGGCCTTTATTGCTTCTATTTTGGACCCAGGCTATACATTGGCGACATAAAGCAATCGCCGCCAGGGGTCCTGCCCCTGTGCTGGGCAGGCAGCTCGCGGGCCGAGGGCTGCGGAGGGCAAAAGGCTTTCGAGCCGCATTAGGACTCGTGCCGGCAGTGATTGTTCTGAGAGCCACAAATAGATTGGAAGCTGAAGTTCTGCAAACCGGACTCCCCCCGTGGGACCGTCCTGGGTTTGCTCGACCTCAGCTATTTGTAATCTTTCCATCGGCACCAGAGGCCTTCATCCTCACCTTGGCGCTGACCTTCTGCTTGGAGCGTGACGTTAATAACGTTGTGTTTGGATCCTTTTCCGTCCTCTTGGGCTCTGAACTTCATGGAACATGATGAAATTTTAAATTATTTTTTTAGGTTCCCTTTTGGTGGAAAGTGCGTGTAAGGTACACGTCATTCCTGAACATCTGTACATAGGGTCTGTGTCAGTGAATGGTCACTGTTTTAACACTTAGGCGACTGACGAATTAGATCTGGAGAACATGGATAGAACTGGCCCTCAGATCTGAGGAGCATTTCCCAAAAGCATGGTCTCCAACTATGTTGGCATCTTACCTCGTTGGAACCATGAAACTGAAGCAGTCCAACTATGTGAGTCGCTAACAGGAGATTTTGGGAAACGCACGCCTGTATGTTTCCAGTGAGGAAGACTATTTTTTGTTTCTCACAAGACAGTGCTGCTGATTTATATCCCAAAACAGGATAGTCTTAAACACATTGTCTTAAACTCCGTTTTTGCTTTTGAAGAAGCAGGTTTTGTTCGTCTAGGATTGCACATCTGATAACAATCAAACCCGCAAAGTTTAATCACCTTCTAATATGGCTCCTTCGACTTGGCACAGTCTGACATTTTTGCCATTTCTCTCCGCTGCTGTGCCAGGGCAGAATGAGGCCACACGAGGACAAGACAGCCTGACTTTGTTTGTTTTTCCATTGCAGTCAGGAACCTGGACCGGGACTCTGCCTGGAAGGCGGTGATGTCATGTTACCAAAAAAACCAAATAGCCGTGGGGTTAACCTAGTTTAGCTGTAACGAGTCCGACTCAGATTAGCATCCAGATTGGCATGTCGCACTCTTCTGTTTTGTTACGCTTTGTTAAATTTTGATGGGAATGGAAATACAAACCTTCCCGGCATTTCGCTGTTAAAAGTGCACCCCTCTAAGCAGGATCCTCCCTATATATCCGCTCCCCTCCACCTTTCCAGTCTGGCTTTCCAAGTCTCCCTTACCCTGTGATCTCATGCCATTAACCAGGTCTGGAAATAATGTGCACTCATGCCCGCCGGTCATGAAAATGTATGTTTTTGTGTGCTTTTTTTTTTTTTTTGTCGTCTAAGTGTGTGTGCTTGGCTCCTGTAAGCTGTGGGGATCCATGTCGCTGGCCAGCTTTCCATCCCGACCAGAACAAGGCCACCTCTCAGGCCACATAGCTGCTGTTAATCGGGCCCTCTGACCTGCGCCCCCACTCGCCTACCGTCGTGCCCGTGCTACAGAGGACTTAGTGTAACTAAGTACGGCCCTTGTCCTGCCCGCCTGCTGTTGGTCAGAGTGGAATTTGGGGATGGAGGTGCTGCTATTTACCGCGAGCATCAGGCCTGATGAAGGTGCCCTGAACTTCCATGGTGCCTCTGTCAACATGCCCCCCCCCCCGCTGTCCTCTGGGGCCTAGCGCTTTATAGGGGCCCCAAGCTATACTGCAAAATTTACCGGGGGGGCAGGGTGACAGTTTGGTGGGGGGCCCAGAATCTCTAGCTGTACTTCGATGTGCTGCTCTGATGGTGTCCCGTGTGCTGAGCATTAATCAAGCCCCCCCCCCGGTTAACGAGCTGTGCCTCTACCTGTGTCCAGGTGCCCGCCTCCCCCCCCCACGCCCACCACGGCCCTCACCTGTGTGCTGCGGTGCTTCCCCTGCGAGCCGTCCTGGGCCGGCAGC